AGGTCGAGGCTGCGGTGGCCAGGAGCGGCCACTGCACTCCAGTCTGGGCAACAGAGTAAGCTCTGACTCAAAAAAAGTAAAAAATAAATAAATAAATGCACTGAGGCTGGGTGCAGTGGTTCACACCTGTAATTCCAGCACTTTAGAAGGCCGGGGAGGAAGGATTGCTTCAGCCCCAGAGTTTGAGACCAGCCTGGGCAACATAGCCAGACCTCATCTCTACAAAAGAAAAAAAATCAAAAAATTAACAGGGTGTGGGGGTGTGCACTTGTAGTCCCAGCGACTGGGGAGGTTGAGGCCAGAGAGTCATTTGAGCCCAGGAGTTTGAGTTGCGGTGAGCCGCGATCCCCCCATGTACTCACTCCAGTCTGGGCAACAGAGTGAGATCCCCGACCACAAAATTAAAAAAAAAAATCTGGGCACGGTGAGTCACGCCTGTAATCCCAGCACTTTGGGAGACCAAGGTGAGAGGATTGCCTGAGCCCAGAGGTTCAAGACCATTCTGGGCAACTTGGCAAGACCTCATGTCTGCAATAAATCAAAAACTTATCTGGGGCGTGGTGGTGTGCACCTGTACTTCCAGCTTCTTGGAAGGATGAGGTAGAAGGATTGCCTGAGCCCAGCTGGTGGAGGCTGCGGTGGCTGTGAGCACTCTAGCCTGGGAGACAGAGTGAGACTTCCACTCAAAAATTTTTTTTAAAAAGTAATAAATAAATAAAAATGCACTGCTCTCCAAGGCAGCATGGTCTCTAGCAACCAACTGCTTCTCCCTCCTTTCAGGCTGAGTCAACTCTCCTGTATTCTAGTTAATTCATGCATGCCATTTCTGAATGGGAGCAATTTTCCAAACTATAACTTATGTGTTAAATTTAATTTTTAAAATGCTGCTGAAGAAAGCCCTATCTTGGGAGAAAAAAAGTACCAATGGGTGTGACTCGTTGGAAGGCACAAGTCAAGGTAAATTACATGACTCACCATGAAATATCAGAAGTGTAAACTTGGAGACTTTTCCCTTTCACCACTCTTGGGCCCCTATTTGATAACTCCTCTCAGATGAGACTGGAGCCTAAGGCCAGACCTAGGTGCCAGAAAGCACCAGAGACAAGTGAACTGTGTGTCTCTCTTCAGACCCAGGGTGGACGTAGCTCCTTCGGTGTATAGCTCTGGCCATTTGCTCTGAGAATGAGGGCCAGAGCCTGCCTTGGAGCATTAGCCGTGGGTTGGTGACCTCTTCCCTGCAAACATATGCAGCTTCTTCCTCTGTGGTTAATAAGGGAGGGAAAGGCACTAAAAGAACAGCTTTGTCATGTGAAGGGGAAGCATATTTCATTTTAATATACTTAAGAAGTCATCCGTGATACATTAGAAAAGGTACCAGTAAGGCTTGGTAGTCTCAGGAGCAGGTTGCCAGGGGCTGACTTTACCCGCACTGCTGTGAAATGTGCGTTAATGGCCAAGCCAGTCTGGCAGAGTTAGACGTTTTCTCTGCATCAGTGGTTTACAGTCTTAACTCATTCTTCTAGCAAATGTTTCCTAATAAACCCAGCGCTTCCACATGCCCAGAAATGGCTACTGAAAGCTTAACTTTCCCTCTCCCAAGCAGGACCACGCTCCCTGCTCCTAATTCCTTAGTCTCTGTAGCGCTCGGCTGGCTTGGCTGTCTCTGAGTTAGGAGGTGCCCTAGTCCCCGGATCCTCCTGGCCAGTGACTGCAGGAGACCTGAAACAGGGTACCTGAGTCGAGCCCCGACGCGGTCTGCTCCTTGCAGGCTCAAGTTGCATCCGAGGCGCCTCTCCTTCGGTAGAACCCGGGACAACCCAGGGCTGGGGCCTCGCTGCAGCGTCGCCGCCCATTCGATCTCTCCAGTCTCCGTCGCCCTCAACGGTCCTGGAAGAAGGGGAACAGATGACGGAAAAGGCCCTGAATTTGCGCCACCCGGCTGCTCGTGGCGTCCTTCTCCTTGGCCGGCGCCGCCGCGGCTCTCGTGTTTGTCCCCACGGCCTTCTTGCCTGCTGAGCTCGGGGTTCGTCTCAGCATCCACGCAGCGGCGCCGCTGCTGTTGTTATTGGAGTTGTTAGGCTCGCTGCTGCCCACCGCCTCCCAGTCCTCGGCCCCCGACAGCTCTCGCAGCCTCTGGGGCGCGTCGGGCCGCAGATAGTGGCAGG